TATAAAAAATAAAGAAATAATCCTGGAAGGGAAATAAAGTCAACTCTTTCTTGACCCTTTCATTCCCTGAAGGGGCCCAAGTGAAAATCAGACAATAAAAGAGGTTTCATTTGAATGGTCAAACCGCAGGCACTCTGTCCAATCTGAGTCAGTTTCTTTCTTAGAAAGAGTTGACTGCAGTTTCTCTTTTCTTGTCACCTGTCAGTTTACCCTTTAAGTCCCAATATCCACAAACAAATTCTCCAAACTGGTCTCCATACATTTCGTTAAAGAATGAGTCGAGAGAATTTGTTCAAAGATCAAGGCATTTTATCTTTGGTAATCATTTTGTCAATTCTCATAACCGCATCTCTTGACAATGTACGGATACTGTCAGGAGAAAATTGATGTTGGTCACTATTGAGACTTAAAGCGTTAAACATGACGTGATGTACTTTGGCCTTTAATACACCAATGTAGTGCTTACTTAACCCTTTACATGAGCCGATAGAGCGAAAACCGGTTCCATTAAAACCCACTAAATGGCCATAAGTCGGCTCGGAAACCAGACGGGAAAGAAGAAAGACACAACTTAAGCAAGGTTTGACGATTTTTATTTAAATCCGTTTACATTTGTAGGCTGCAGAAACAGTTATTGTTTTTTCTCCCATACAAATCCTTATATTTTGAACGCTACGTAACAGTGCTCTTGGTCATATTTCGAGCTTTTGGCCACCTGTGTATCGTTATATCTTCTAGGGACAAGGTTATTGAAATTAATAGAATGATCACAAAAGAGAAATTTTTTGTTTGTTTTGACTTGAAGCAAATTTTCTCAACCATTACTGAAAGGAAATGTATGGAGATTTAGTCTGGAAAATTTTGTATGCGGATAATGAGGTTTAAAGGGTAACCACTAGTTTGCCATGTGAGTGAGATATTGGTCTCTAACAGTTTTTCTTTTCAAACACAGCTCTGACTTTAAAGGGGTTTATAACCATGTCTTGTTGTTGACCACTGTACATGGGTTCAGTGTCTGTCATACCTTTTCATTTTTCAGATAGAACAGCGAGTCTTTCGGGCATCTTTCATTAATTTTGATAGCTTGCTCGGATGAAAGTTGTAGTGGTTGGGTGATCAAAAAGTAGCTACCAGACGTAAGAGTGGCTGGCTTTGCCCTAGTTCTGAGAAATATGCTGTTTATTTTGATTTGTGCTTTACACCCAGGAATGGCATAATAGCGCTTTAAGGTCAGAACACTAGGCAACATTTTGCTGCAACACTTTGTGGAGACAAATCACTGCTTGTGTACCTGCTGGATGTCAAGCTTCTGTAACAAGCTGCGCAAACATTTCAGCGCCAAATCGCTTTGTGTGTCTTGTTAACCTATGGTATAATTGAAAACTGTCGTGATTTTCAGTTATGAATATTCTCAAACTGCTGCCAAGTTGGGAAGAAAATTCAATGTAAGTTGGCAATAGTAGTAATCCTTTTAATAAGTTCTGGTCTTAAACTATTAGGTAGTTCGTAAATAGCTTCATTGCCGCTCATGTATTATAAACCATGAAAAGTAATAATGTTTTGTGAAGTAATTAGAAGACATTTTATGTGTACGTCTATAAAGCCCCTGTTGCGTATAAGGACTTGAACTGTATCAAATTATGCAAAGTAGGTGGACATTTTATTTATGATTTTATTAAAAGAAAAGGTGGCAGGTTATGCTGCTAATTTTAATTAAAGATCTCGTGAAAAAAGGTCATTCTGCTGTGTTGAAGAATCTGACGTCCTTGGTAGCTCAAGCCCGTCCACAGGCGTTCTCACTTTTTTTGCGGGGGCGGGGAATTTAACAGCGCGCGAGTTACGCTCCAACCTCGTTCCGAGAGTTCTGTCTTACACGCAGCGACGGGTATCGGGTATGAGAGAACCCAGGGAACGAGGTTGGCTTCGCTCGCGCTCTAGCCTGCGGACGCTGACGTATTTTCGGTCGTCGTAGAATACGAGTAGTCCCTCATTTTCCCTCAGGGATAGTAAGTAGAGCGACGGCGCCTTTCTCGCGTGGGGTGATTTTCACGCGAGTTCGCGTTTCGGTCGCTCTACTATCCCTAATGGAAGATGGTGGACTACTCGTACTCTAGGTCGTCGCTTCTCTCCACCCTTGCTACCTTGCGCTCTTGCGGTCAATAAATTCCCGGCGGTTTTATTTTCAAACACGTCCTCGACGATCTCGAAAGAGAAAATAGGGGGTCTAAATAACAAGTTGTGGTAGCTTATCCGCTTTGAAAATGATCGTGAACAAATCCACCGTAATCGTCTCAAGCTTGAGACGAGGTAAGATACCCCGTGTGAGCCCTTTCCCTTCCCTTGGGTTGTTTGTTCTAAAAAAACCGCTAGGTTCTTGTGTAGCAAACCCCTGTTAATATCAATTGACTGAGCCATTTACTGCCTTTCAGAAACTAAGCCTGGCGCTCACTAGAAGTCAGAACTGGTGAGCCGTACCGGTCATTTCTAAAACGAAACGTGACTCTTTCGTGAGTTTTCGCTCAGCACCCGTTCTTGTTTGAAAACGGAGATTTGTTTTCTCTTATTTGGCCTACACAGTAGGGACCTTAAGGACCGCGACGACGACGGCAGTGAAAACGTCGCTAAAAAAATGAATTTGCATCCTTTCAAACTTAATCGCGTCTATTTGGACCAGCTCAATATGTCAAATGCGGGCGACTTTTCCTGGAGTTGAATTGTTAAGGATTTTATTCAAGTTGAAAGAGGAATTAAGGAAAAATTCGTCGTCGTATGTCCACGTCCTCCATAAAAAGTCAAATTAGGAGGTTTCACTTCGTAGTCGTGCAGTGGACGTTAAAGAAATGAACTAAAAAGCGTGATGCACCTGCAGAGCTATTGTTTTGATCATTAAAGATCATTAAGCCTATTGTTTTCTGGAGTTGTCGTCGTCGTCGTGGTTGCTTAAAGCTACAGTGAAAACGGTCACCGAAAATGCATCTTTTCAAAGACGCTTTCCAGGGGCCCGTTTCTCGAAAGTCCCGCTAACTTTTCGGCCGGGCCCGAAATGAAATATTCAAATCAAAATGTAAACAGATAAGAGCGCTGGTTCTAGACAGCAAACCAGTACATTTTGTTTTGTTAACTGATGCTTTATGATGTTGTCTAACAAATTTTTAAACCTCTATCTTGAATGTAAACAACAACACCTTTTTGGGTCCGTTAATTGTCGGGTGTTTCGAGAAACGACCCTCAGAGCGGGGAATTTTGAAAACTTTGGCTTATCGTTTTCGTGTGGACGGGCTAATCTTGAATGCGATATCATAAATCAAACAACGCGTGCCCCGTAAGGCATGCAATCGTATCCATCGTTTCAGCTTTTTCGTGTGGACGGGCCAAAGCGATTAGAATACGTTACGTGTGGACGCGTATTTTTTTCGAAAACGGAGGGAAAAATTGTCCGTTTACGAGGCCAAAAAACCATCGCAGCCGTGCCTTTGATTCTTTATTCGACGACATACCTACAGTACATCCATATCTCCCTTTTCAAAAATATCCGGACACTTGTGAACGACGCCTAAAAACCCATCTCAGCTGTAACAAGCAGTAACAATAATTCTATTCTATATTTTTTTTTCTTTGAAACGTTATTGTCGTCTTTCTGTAAACTGATGAACAGTTTATTTTCATTCGAAATCAGAAGTAAATCTTATTAACTAAAATAACAATTGCCAAAAAAAGGAGTGATTTAAGAGACGGTCCAGATGAGAACGATAGCAAGAACGGCAATGAACATGTTGGAATGCAAAAAAGGTGCTAACTTTTGTATTGTCTGTACTTACTTCGATTCTGATTGGCTTAAACAGCAAAAGTTAACAAAACTTCATAAAGCGGTACATATATTCATCCTTACTTTCCAACCATCTTCCATACAACAAAATCTGGTCTCAGTTTGAACAACAAGGAAATCCTATGTGGGGAACATGTAAAATTGTAAACTTTTCTTGGCTATTGTTTTCAACTCTTGTGATTGGTCAAAATCTTTTAACACAAAAAAACACCCTTTCAAAGTGGAGTGTATTAAAATGCATTTTATTGCGTAAACGGCCTTCACACTGTAATTTTCAGGGAGTTATAATAACTCCTCTAGTGGGGCTAATTTAACTCCTGACAGTGGAGTTATTTTTCGTGGAGTTATTTTAACTCCAAAAAGGAGTTTAAAGAACTCTTTTTCAGGAGTAAAAGTGACCCCAGATATTGAGGAGTTAAAATAACCCCAAAAAAGGAGTTATCCTGTACCTAAAATTTTTACTCCACTTTCAGAGTTAAATTAACTCCAAAAAGAGTAAAAACAACCCCTGTAAGGAGTACAAGTAACCCCATTTCGGAGTAATTTTAACTCCAAGACTGGGAGTAAAAAGAACTCTTTTTCAGGAGTAAAAATGACCCCAAATTCGGAGTTAAATTAGGAGTTAAAATAACCCCAAAAAAGGGGTTATCCTGTACCTAAAATTTTTACTCCATTTTTGGAGTTATAATAACTCCCTAAAAATTAGGGTGCATGTAGGTTTATGCATTCTCTGTGTAAAAATGAGAACATTCCTATGTGGTGAAAGCACTGTTGCCGCATAACAAAAGAAATTGCTATCCACCTTACCCGGATCATTACTTAATACATATGAAGTACATGTATATTAGACTAACATGCCTTGCTTGTGTTGGCCTGGTTGGTTTCTTCCTTTTCTTTCTCGTTCTCATGGCAACCATTTTCGTGCCCATTGACATCTCCAGGAAGCTCCTGATTCACGAGGCCCATCGTTGCCGGGTCCTCTAAACCGACATCCTTACAGTGTACCTCCACTCCTTGGCCTCCTCTAGGGTACCCTTGACAGATCTCGTGGTACTCTTGAAGGCGCATTGCCAGACGGTCGTGAGGCATGTGGTTGATGTATCCGCATTTACCAATTCCCTTGGGAACAGGGGCTGCAAGATTACCCCCACGCTTCTCAATTACTTTCTCTTGGGCACTGTAGAGACGATCGACATCTTCCATGATTGGGTGCCATAAAGACAATTCAAGATTACTCAGCAGCGAAAGGATGCGATCAATTTCACCTCTAGTGGTCCAACCCTCGCAGAAAGAAAGGTAAGCCCCAAAGCCCATTCCAGTCGATACAGCGTGACCATGGAGCATGCCAGATGGAAGCTCGTATCCTGGGGTCCATGTATGGCCGTAGGCATGTGGTCGACACTGATGTGTTTCCCATAGACTACCATACTCAGATCTCACATAACTGAAAAGGAAAAAAACAAACAAACCAAAATTGACAAATTTACAGAAGAAAAAGAAAGTAGCCGCGTCAGATCTAGCTCAGTTGGTAGAGCCCTTGACACTGCCTCGTACCCAGACGTCTCTCTTTTGATGAAAATGTGCGCGCAAAGGAAGGCGGGAAGGATACAACCTGTACCCTTCCCATGGTCCCTTGCGGTTCATCACCAGTCACTCGTTTCGCGCTCGCCTCTGCCATGCGAAAAACGAAGCGCCTGAGGAGGAGGCTGCCCTTGACAGCAGAGCGGGAGGTAGCGGGCCGAACCCCCGCGAGGCCGGACCAGTAATCTGGGAAATAAAGCTACTGTCTTTGCCGTGCAATGGCTAGACCTTCACGTGGCTCCAATGACCACTTAAAATAGCGGGCCCGTCTCAAGTAGGAGACGTAAAAACTGACGGTGCCCTCAATAGACCATTTTGCAGTTGTGGACTTGGTAGCCTAGCCTTCGAGTGAATGTGAAGCTGACGGCGACCTTGTTCTGATACAAACCTCCTTTGTTTTGTTATGGAAGTTGTCCTGGAAAAATACTAGTTAGCATAAGAATAACTTCATTTGGATAATGAAGCAGGAAGGTTTGTATAAAAACAAGGTCAACTCCAGCTTCGCTTCCATCCATAACTGTAAAATGGCCTATTAACAGCGGAGCTCCACGCGCATGTCCCGAGCCCTCTTTGGTAGTCACGTGACCGTACGTCCGTCCACCCGTCTCTCTGCACCACAGGGTAACCAACGTGATTCCAGGATTCTTTGTCAGTGGAACTTGGATTCCGGATTCAAAACGCTTTTGGAATTCCGGATTTCCCAAGCAAAACTTTCCTGGATTCTGAATCCAGATTCCCTCACATAGGGCGAGCAGTTATTCTCGATAGACACTCTTAAAACGCAAAAGAACTGAAAAAAATAGGGCGATAATTTTCCAAAAAAAACACTAACCCTTCAAGAGATTTACCAATCACAAGATCGCACAGCTTTCCAAAAGCTTCGTGATCACCATCAAATTCAGCCATGTCGGTACCAAACTTCGTCCACAGAAGATCAGACGAGTTCTGCTCCACTAGGCAGAAAAGGCTTTCGTCTCGAATCACTGCCATTTTGATGATTTCAGCGATCCCATGACGCACCCAGCCACGGTGGAGGGTCTTGAAGAAGGATCTGTCGGTGAAGGTAATCACAGGTGGGTGGTATGCACCGAACAGATTCTTGAATCCAAACCCATCACATCCCCTGCGCGGAGAAGGCCCAGCATCTATACCAGTTACGACGCTTGTACAGACCATCACGTAAGGCGTGTTTCGGTGATACAGCGCCGTTGCACAGCCGGTAACGTCTGCTATGACGCCCCCACCTACAACCAACACCGGCTGATTTCTGGATGCACGGTTCTTCTTTAATGCAACCAAGATTTTTTCCACTACTGAAATGTGTTTATCGGTCTCATTACCAGAGAAAATAAGCTTCTTCAGCTCGATATTATGTTGATCAAAGTAAGCTTGAATAGCCTCGCCATAAAGTTTCTCCACTTTGTTGTCGACAACAGCCAAGCACCTGAAGATGAAAACAGTATATTAATTATTTGAAACATGTGTAATAGAAACCGGTATGTTTCTAATAATAAGCAATTATTGAATGCGTGAAGCTCACTGTGAGGTTGAGCATCATAAAGAGAATTCTCAAGACTAAAAAGGTTGCATTCATCAGGCAGAAACTGGCTCAAACTAAAACCGAAGCCTTGAGAATTCTCTTGAACGATCGGTTGACGTACCTCCCGAAAGGCTGATAAATTTTTTTAAGCTCGTGATTCTCGGGACTCAGCAAGCCGTAGACGATCTTAATGGACGTTGTTAGGGTCAATCCCATGATACCTTCGATGACGGAAGCGTCTGGTTTGGCCAACACATAACTGTGAGAAGTACGATAAATGGACGTGGGGTAAACCGCATGGGGTTCATCGTCCTTTAGGTACTCTGCATTGTCCTCATAGCATGGCGGTGCGTTTATTTCTTGAAGTAGGATACGCATAGGCATAAATCCAAGTTTGCATTCTGCAATCCTCTCAACTATGTTGTTCCATTTCTGCGTTGCCTCTACAGCATCCGTTCTGTGATGAGAAAAAGGAGAAGAAAACAGGGGCACCCAACGAGAATATAGTTCAAAACCACTTAACATAGCATTGTTCAACGTATTTTAGTATTCAAACGGTAGATATAGGCATATTTTTATCCCCTAAAAACTTTTCATCTGTTCGGATTTCCTAGCTGAAAGTCTAGTGATCCGAAAATTATAGGGACAAAAACTTACCTTCTCGAAAATTTCAGCCAGGAAAAGGCTCCCGAAAATTCTAGGTGGCCTTTTTTAGGGTCAAAATCCGTTAAAAATGGGTAATTATATCATTTTGTAGATGTTCGAAAATCCTAGGAGAGGCAGGCAAGCAAAAAATTTTACAACAAATGCTCCGAAAATTCTAGATCTCAAATCGTCTTCCGAACAGATATTTTCCCGAAAATTGCCGTTGGGTGCCCCTGAAGAAAATATAGTACAATTGATCCTACATGTGCGACATGTGACCTCTCATCCAAAAAATCAAAGTTAATCCCAGTGAAATCGATGAATTTGGAACATCTCAGTAGCCTCCCACGCAAACGTTCTTAGGGGTTCGTCACGCGCCCCACAAAAGACGGCCTGTTCCAGGTTCTCAGATAGTGGGGAAGACGCCAAAGAAAAAGGCACGCGAAAGGTTGGCGGGGCGGGAAAAAGGAAAAGGGAAGGAGAGAGCCGCCCCTTCTCTCCCCAGTTTCCTCCCGTTTTATTTTCGTGTTCGCGCTTTCTCAATTCAGCGGACTCGACTATCTCGGAGCCTGGGACAGGCTACAAAAGACTCGACTGCATGTAATGTTCATTCTACGTGATAATATGCCCCGTGTAGATGCGTGTAAGGCACATGTGACGCTAGAGAGTAAATTAGTGACGAGCGTGTTAACGTCCTTGGAATTTTGAATTATTACTTACCCAGCGACAAGATTCGCAAGTTGCTGGAGCACAGCGACAGTTGGTAAGTTGTAGAAAAATTTGAGTTGCTTGACTGCTGCAAGTGCATCAAGATTGCTTCTGAAGGATTTGGCCAACTCTTTAGAAAACACGGCCAGGCGCGAAGTTCGAATGAGGAAGTCGCTAATAATGGGATCGGCGAAGATTATTCGAGCGATCTCCGCGGGCTTTTCGGGTGTTTCCGGTGAATCGTCTAGAGCTTTACATGCAAGTTCCTTCAGATGATTCACTGCGTTTCCCACGGTATCCTAAGTACAAGAAACAAAATAATAAAGTACTCAACAGAGAGCTGCTTGTAATCTTAGTTTATTCTTTGAAACACAGAGATCCTATCAAACATCCTGTTCTAAGAAAATCACAGATGCTGGCAACGTTCCGTGAACGACGCGGAGCATTAAGAGACGGCGTTTTTCGCAGGTTTTTATTCGCTGTGTGTCCGTTTGACCCCAGCTTTCCCGAAACAAGCGGATTACTAAACGATTGAAATTAAATGCCTAGCTCTCATTAAATTCCGTTGTTGGTTCTTAGCTAGGCGTTGTCAATGTGCTGGCCTCCAGGCCATAGTTGTTCAAAACTTGTTTAAGTCTATCAACAGGATAAATCTCTATTCAGTGGATAGCGCAGGTGGTTTCCCTTTATACTTATCTTATCCGTTGGATAGTGATTTATCCGGTGGATACCGTATTTATTCGAATAAGCGCCCAACCTCGAATTAGCGTCCACCTCGAATAAGCGCCCATGCTAAAGGCAGAAAAAGTTAATAAGCGCCCAGCCTCGAATAAGCGCCCACCCCACCCCACTCTCTCCCACAAAAATTCCAATAAGAGATAATAAGAGACCCTCCCGAAGACGGAGTTTTCTTCAGAGTATTTTATAGAAAACTTGCTTTGCTACATCTTCGTTTTTTTTTAGTTCCATTTACTGTTTTGTTGTAAAATACTACTACACTTGCTGAGAATGGTGAAAATTTAATAAGCGCCCAGCCTCGAATAAACGCCCACCTCGAATAGGCGCCAACTCTCAAGGTCCAAAAATTTAATAAGCGCCCAGGGCGGTTAACCGAATAAATACGGTAGTACTATCCAACGTTTGAACTACCGGGGCCAAAGACGAATTGATATGATGTCTGAAACGTTTTACGTTAAATACGTCTAGACCACTTCATCTTCGCTAGCATAAGAACCGCCATTTTATACAATTTACAGTTTACAATGTAGCGCGAAAGAAAGGGGACTAAGACGGTTTCCACCCCAATTAACTTTTAACTGACCTGAAATCTAATGAAGTCTTCGTCCAATCGAAAGAATGTGATCTCCTTTACAATCGGAGTCTCTGTCATCTTGAAGGAGCTAATGCTGTTGCTCTCAGAGGCTATGTAGGTCTGGTTTATGCACTTTTCCTGAAAGGCACCAGGTTTCAAGTAGTGTTACCTGATGAAAGCTAAAGAACAAAACTTTTCTGTGGGAAGCAATTTTATGCGAAAAGAATAAAGGTCGTTGTAGAGAATACCACGGGACGTATCTTAGATCATGCCTCAGGGGAATTAGTGGTTTCTGAAATCATTTTCAGATCAAAGATCTTCAAGGTGGGGGAATCACAAGAGCTCATGTTCCAGGCAGAGGCCACAAATCGACGTCAATAATAGAGCCTAGCCAATAAGATAGGAAGTTTGCAAACTAAGAAAAACAAAACAAAACGGAAGAAAACACTTGCTCTGTCTGTACAGACCTCCTTAGCTATGTTTTTTTAAAATTAACTTAATTCTTAAGTACAGGTCATAAGATGTTTCGCCCTTTGCCTTCCTTAAGTAATCCGGACAAGTGCGTGAATTTATTTAATATGCATTTCGGTAACATGATGACCAGTCTATTCGATATGAGGACATCAGCAACTAATTCACATACGACTTCGTTCGGTAGAGGAGAATTTTTCAGCATTCATAAATGTTTTCGGATGTGGATTACAGTTGATTCCCGATAACTCGAACCCTCGCTAACTCGAACCGAAGTCGATTTCCCCTGGATATCCTTTAAACATTTACTATAATTTTATCGTCGGTAACTCAAACCCTCGATAACTCGAACCTCCCGCTAACGCGAAGTAACTTTGGTTCCCTCTACCCTCCATAACTCGAACCATGTTATAAGCGCGTGACAAGTCGAGATAAAAAGCCGTGCGCTAAACTCAGAAATATTGAATTTATTTCAAAACAAGTGTGTCAATTCTTTGTCTTACTTTGCTGTCACTCCAGTTCAAATTCAGTGCCCATACTTGTATATTAATCAAGCTTTGCTGCTTAATTGCATTCCTTCCCCATCCATTTGCTTATTTCCGGTTATTTGTTTTGAACTCCCGATAACTCGAACTTTTTTCGATTTCCCTAGAAGGTTCGAGTTATCGTTAGTCGATACATTCAAGGGAGCCAAAAAAATTAACTGGATTTTTTAGGGTCAGTACCGCCCAAGTTTGAGAAACTACGTGCCCGCATAAACCCCATTGTTCCAAGAGTGATCAACATCAGTTCTTTCCTAACAGTATCAATATACAATGTACTTTTTCACTCTGACTTTGTGAAAAGCGAGTCGCAGATGATTAAAACTTCTTTATTCACAGCAATCAAAAACATAGCTTAAGTTTAAATTTCAAAGACATCTTTCTTAGCGCGTATAACTTGGACAGCTGTGTATGATAAATAGCTTTCAAAACTCCATACTGCGCAAAGATGAATATACAAGAAGCCGTCTTAAACTTACGTCGAGTTTTTCTCCACGTTTGGATAGAAACTTCCATCATCGCAAATGGAAACCGTAGAAAAGCTATCTTCAAGTTGTAGCAATCCACAAAGGCAAGAATAATGAACTACGGATTGTATCGACTTAAAACTACATCCCAAGGCCGTAGCCAGAGTTTTTGCATACGTACTTAAATAAATAGTTCATCATACATAACGTACGAACACTTAAATAAAGGTATTTCATTTACCTCTGCGACTGCTGATGACGGAGGTTATGTCTTGTGCATTACAAAAGTTAACGTTGTTTTTTCAAAGTTGTTACAGTCAAGCCAGGTCAAGCGTACCCCTCAAGATTTCATTGATGAGTTTATTATTCGAAAGTTGAATCCGTTGGTAGTTGTAGATTTCAGATTCATTTCTGCATTATTGCATGTGTAATGAGTCGTGAATACACGCGATTCAGTTCAGGGCCGTAGCCAGTATGAGGCAAACCGAAGCACTTGCCTCAGTCATTTTTTTTTCTGGGGAAAGTTTGATTTTTTTGAAGGAGACACACTAGCAGCAAATAAATTCACAAACAGTTAAATAGATATTTAAAAAATGTTAACGCAACATGGTTTTGTTTAATGATAACGCGAATCAGGCAGTTGCCTAAATTACCGATGAGAAAAATTAAGCAAAAATTCATGCTAACCAGGTAAGGTATGTTTGACCTGCCTTCACTGCAATACCTTTGTTAGAGGTTTTTACAACCGTAGGGATAAATAGTGAACCAAAAAGCTAAATGGAAGACAACCTCGGACTATTTTTGTTAACTTGACGGTTATACCGTTTACTACGTTGTACAAAGTGGTTCTTATTTTACCGGTGGATGAAAGCCTAACATGTGACCTTTGAAATAAAATTTACTGAGCAATACTTTTCTGTCGTACTGTTTATTCACTGCTTTTTTTATACGCTGTACGGTGGTTCTAGCTTTTGAGTCAGTTTGTGAACGGAATCCTTAGGTGTGACCATTCAAATGAGAGCTACTAAGTGGTACTTTCCTGTGGTAATGTTTATTTACGCTGTGCAAGGTGGTCTTAACTTTTGAGTCTATGGACGAAATCTTCAGGTTTCCATTGAAATGACTGTTGAAGGCTACTGAGCAGTATACTTTCCTGTTGTAACGATTCCAATGAGCGACCTGGATGAGGTGAAAAACGTGCGAATTTGAAAAAGGATTAAATTAAGAACCGCTCATCAACAAGTGTTTTTCTTGTTAAGTTTTTCCGTCCAAAACTATCTCTCAATATTATAAGTGCCTTTGTGACAAGATAAGTGATGACGCCAGCGAGAACAAAATCTTGAGCAAGTGAATCAACAAAGGCAAACATGAGAAGATCGAACAGCATCAAAGTCCATTCGTTGCCGTA